ACGAGGTCGTAGACGAAACTAGTTTTGAAGTTTTCGCAGTAGTGTGTTGAAAGTAGAAGTTAGTTGGAGTTTTTCACTTACATGGTTAATATGGCGTTAAGTAATACTTTCTTGGCTTCGATAAGTAGAATTTCACAACGATAAATAATTAACTCTTTGAATTCATTGAAATTAATTTCAAACAGTTCTGGTGGTGTTTTGAGATATGCAATAAAAAGGGAGTACCTTCGAATCATTTAGACAACAAACTAGTTCGAAATATCTAAAATGATTATGTACGATTCGAGTAGAAGTGAAGTTGCAAAGGGAGGATAAAGAAATGTAAAAAGTAAGCACCAAACAATAATGTCAAATAATAGAAAATTGAAGAAAATTCAATCAGACTACGAAACAACGGCGAAATCTGCACTTGATTCCAAATATCACCATCTCAACATGCCAGAAATATGCACCGTTGAGAGAGCCAAATGGGGTTCAACGTTAGCTGCAAAACGGCAAGCTTATTGTTTTTTGAGTATCACGGAAAGTACGAGCCAGATGCTAGCTTTCCTTTTTATATATACAGCGCTCCTGGTAGAAATGTCATGAAATAGCACTAAGAATAGGCCAGTTGTATTTTGACTACCCCGAGGTATCTTCGGGCAAGTGATGCTGTTACCAATTGCAGGAAGATCCAGTTGAATAGGGAAAGGCTGCCCTGGAATTTCAATCAATGGAGTCTTGTGGATTCGTAAATTTTAAAATAACTTTATTAATCACTTCGTCATTTAAATTCATCACAGGTTGGGTTAAGCATCATTTTTTTCCGTTCTTCACTGGTGAATTCAAATGATATAAACCGAAATGAAAAGAAGGATAATTTCTTGAGTAGCCTGAAACTTTGCTCGGTAATTAAAGGCCTTGTAATATAACTCATAACCCCAAAGCTCTTCATTTCTACCAATTCATTTAATTTCAGATGTACTTTTTTCCACACAAACCCGTGTCATTTCACAATCAGAGAAGCTCGTGAACTGCTAATAAATTTTCGTAAGCGTTCCACTGTTGTTTCCTGCTGAAAGGAAGCTGGTTTTTAAGGGTAGTTGCCATGAAAACAGCAACATCATCTAAGGAGACTGAACGCTACAGAAATATGGACGGATCTTACAGAATATAAAAATTATTTACAGTAATTATAAATAACAACAGGTGAAAAAATATCACACTAAAACGGCCAATATTATACTTGATGTCTGTACAAGAGATTCGACTTTTATCAGCTAAATCCTTTCCCTTTTCTCCAACATCTCTTGATCTCCCTGTCTTTTGCTTTAACTGGGAAGGCGTTGAGTTGTAAAAAGCAAATTTTCTAAAGTCCCGGCAAAACAAGCACCACAGACCCGTGAAGAAAGAATGGGAAAATAGAACCCCAGCGAACAATTCATTTGCCGCGAAGCTGGAAAACAGTAGACCAATATCCCGCAAGTGTGGCAGTGTAACTGATTCAAGTGCGAATTGAAACGAGGTCTTCTTTAGGCCGTGGTTTTTGACGATTAGTGGACCCTAAAGTTTCTCCGATTCATTGGTGGGATTTTGAATAATTAGATCTTTCTTTTCTTGCTAAGTAGAAGCCTTTTGAAATTTTCGCAAGAACATCACGTCAAAGTAAATTTTCTGCTTCATTTAAGATTGCTCAGAGCGCGTTTTGAATGA